GTAAAGCAGCTGACCAATGAAAGTTTATATTTTTAATCCACATTATGTATAAGTCAGGATTGGCTTAAAATTAATGTGGAGAAGGAGTTTTTAAAAAAGGGGGGCATTTTCTTCACAGTTTTGGCCATTATTTTTATCTGACTAATGGTAACTTCCTCAGTAGCCTACCTGCCTCTACATGTGATCTAGTCTTCACGACATGATACTGTACAAAGGGAACCCCAAAGATTCCACCAAAAAACTACCAGAGCTGATAAATGAATTCAGCAAAGTAGCAGGATACAAAATATCCAGAAATCAGTTGTGTTGTATATGCCCATAACAAACTAACAGAAAGGGAAATTAACAGTCCTATTCATAATTGCTACTAAAGAATAAAACACCAAAGAATACAGCTAACATAGGATGTAAAAGGCCTGTACTTGGAAAATTTATAAGACACAGTAGAAAGAAAGAGAAGAAGGTACAAATAAGTGGAAGCACATACTGTGTTCATAGATAGAAGAATTAGCATAATTAAAATGTCCATACTACCCACAGCAATCTATAGATTCAATGCAATTCCTATCAAGATTCTAATGGCATATTCCACAGAACTAGAACAAATATTTCAAAAATTTATATGGAATCACAAAAGGCTTTGCATAGCAACCGTGATCCTGAGAAAGAAGAACAAAGTTGCGGGAATCACGCTACCTAAAGTGAAACTATACTATAAAACCATAGTAATCAAAATAGCATGGCACTGGCATTAAAAACAGACACATAGATGAATGGAACAGGATAAGAAATCCAAAAATAAACCCACGCCATTATAATCAATTGATATTCGATAGTTTATGCATTAAATGATGTTGGCAAAATCGGACAGGTATGGACAGAAAAATGAAATGAAACCACCTTCTTACACCATACACAAGAATAAGTTCAAAATGGATCAAAGACTTAAATGTTAGACCCAAAACCACAAAAATCATAGAAGAAAACATAGGCAGCAAAATCTCAGACTTTGCTTGTAGCAATATTTTATGGGATGTATCTCCCCAGGCAAGGGAAACAAAAGAAAAAATAGACAAATGGGACTACATCAAACTAAGAAGTTTTTGCACAGCAAAGGAAATCATCAACAAAATAAAAAGACAACCCACAGAATGAGAACATATTCGCCAATACATTTGATAAGTGGTTAATATCCAAAATTTATAAAGAACTCGCAAAACTCAACACCAAAAAAAACAACCCAATTTAAGAAATGGGCAAAGGACCTGAACAGACACTTCTCCAAAGAGGACATACAGATAACCAATGACATATGAAAAGATGCTCATGTCACTAATCATCAGGGAAATACAAAATAAAACCACAATTAGACACCATCTCACCCTGTCAGAATGGCTATCATCAATAAATCAACAAACAGGAAATTCTGGCGAAGATGTGGAGAAAGGGGTACAGTTGCACTGCCTTTCGCACTGTTGGTAGGAATGCAGACTGGTGCATCCACTGTGGAAAGCAGTGTGGAGATACCTCAAAAACTTAAAAATGGATCTGCCTTTTGACCCAGCGATCCCACTTCCGGAAATATATCCAAAGGAACCCAAAACACTAAATCAAAAGACCATAAGCACCACTATGTTCACTGCAGCGTTATTTACAGTCACCAAGAAGATATGTAAGCAGCCCTAATGTCCATCAGTAGATGAGTGGATAAAACAACTATTCCACATTTACACAATGGGATACTACTCAGCTATAAAAAAGAAGAAAATTTTACCCTTCGAGACAGTATGGATGGACCTGGAAAACATTATGCTAAGTGAGATAAGCCATTCAGAGAAAGACAAATACCATATGATTTCACTCATAGGAGGAATCTAATGAAAAAACTCAACTAACAAGGAAAATGGAGACAGACTCATAGATGGAGACCAGAATGATAGCTAGTGGGGGAGGGGTGAAGGGACTGAGCAAAAAGGAGAAAGGATTCATGGCAATGGACAACAGTGTAGGGATTTTCGGGGGGAGAGGCATATAAGGTAATGGGAAAAAATACAATAAAGATTAGATCAAAGTAAACTAAATTTTAAAAATAAAAAATAGAGATCAGAGCCTGGAAACGGCCCAATGCATATGTGAGAGCATTCAAGTTACTGTGGAAAGCATGGACTGTCCAATAAATGGAGCAGAGACAGCTGATAAGCCATAAAGAAAAAAATGAAATGGATCCCCACTTACTGTCAGCCTCAAGTCCAGGTAGAATAAAGAAGGTATGAAAAGCACACTCTAAAATTTAAGACCTAAAACAGATGCATTATCTTAATGATCTCAGAGTAGAAACAGATTTCTTAAAATAAGAAACAAAAATCACAAACCTTAAAGAAAAAGAATGATAGATTGAACTGTTGTTAGGAGATAGCATAGGAAGAATCCTGAGACTGCGCTACTGTTGCTGGCCAGCGACTAAGGTGTCCTGGTTGCCAGGCAATACCTATAATAGGCCGCTAGGAATGCAGGGCCATAGGGGAAATAAAGGCAGGGCTCTCACTATTGCAATCTAACAAAGAACTTAACAAAGGAAGCTAAAAGCAAAGGAGGATGTGCCTCACCTATTTACCCAGGAAATCTGAGTCTGGTCCGAGAAGGCTGCCAGGCACTCCAAATAACATAAGCAACCTATGTTAGTAGGGTGGCGGGAGTGAGCCCTTGAAAGTCCACGAGTATCATATCTCCACTAGCTGGGAAAAGGAAAACCTTGAGATTGTGTATTCATCCCAAAGCCTAGAAGGGAGAAGGGGAGGGGGACTACAGTGACCAAAAGAAAAACCCCATAATCAACTTTGGTTAACTGCCTGCCTCCCGTCACATGCAAAATAAACAAAATGAAGAAAGAGTCCGAAGCAAGACAAGGATTCAGGATAACAGACCTCACCCAGACATACATTTAGACAGTCACATCCCCATGGAAAGCTGGCACTACTTTTACCCTCCAAACAAAATGGAACTCCCTCACCCCCATCCTGCCAACTATGTAAGTCCACGGAACAAAGGACTCGTGCTCTTCTCTTGGTTCGTAGCTCTCTTGCCACATGGTAGGGACCCCTGGCCACTCAGTCACTGGCCCCCAGGCCCCTGGGCACCCCTTTTTGGCCACCCGGCCTCTGGCCATCCTTGCTCTAGCTCTCCCATTCACTAATAAACTTTGCTTGCATGCTAACAGGCTCGCTAACAGACCTATAATTCTTTACTGCATCACCGAGAAGAACAAGGGTTTCTCCGGTAACAAAAGTACATTAAACTTTAAACTTTAGTTAACCAAAAGATCCCATAAAGAGTATGAGGGCGAAAAAAAATCTGGGAGATTTCCTAATACATACAACCAAAGAACTAATATCCAAAATATAAAGAAGACCTACAAATCAATACAAAAATAAAACCTGAGGAAAAAAGCAAAAGGCCTGAAAGTTTCACAGAAAATGCAAATGACCCATAAACACATGAAAAGATGTTCAACAGGAAATGTAAAACTAAAGCCACAACAAAATACCATTTCATTATTGCCAGAATGCAAGCAATAGTTAACTATATCAGCTGTTGACAAGGATATGAAGCAAAAGAGGACTGTTACCCACTGCCAGTGGGAGAATAAACTGGTATAACAGCTTAGAAAAATAGTTTGTTATCACCTAGTTAAGGTCGAAATCATTCATCTTCTATCACGAGCAATTCAGCTTCAAGATAACTACAGAAAGTCTTACATATGCACTGAAGGATATGTATAAGGACACGGATTGCTGTAATGCTTTTAAGAGCAAAATAGAAACAGCAGAATCAATAAACTGTGGTATGATTCCACTTACATAAAGTACCAAAACAGACCAAAAGGAACAAACTGCTTTCAGGAGTCTATGTGTATTTCATAAAAATGCAAAGAAAAGCAAGAAATTTTGGATAGTGGTTCACTCTAATGGCAGAGGAGAATGTAATCAGGGAGAGACATCCAAGTAGGCTTCCAGAGTACTAGCTTGTTTCTTTATTCTTTAAGATGTATATGCACGTTTTATGAAACATGTAAGGCAATGCATACTTAAAAATAAATTTGAAAACAAAGCCTAGAATTTCATCAAACTCCCCAAGTTTATGCTTTTTCATATTCCATTTCAACTTTCTGATAAGTACAGTTAAAAATATTAGTCTCTATTATTCAGATGGGGTTATCTTCCAAAAGTTCATTTCCAATTTGGTTATTTTAAACCTCAGAACAAACCTCTCCATAGAAATGCTAGATTCCCAGCTAGTCCACAACGTTAAAGCACTATGAAATATAGCAGAAATTACATTACCTCGTGCCACCTTCACACCCTTCCTCGTTCACTTTACCAAATATAGAAACCAAAGCTCCGCAGAATTCTGTAACCTGGTCAAGGTCAAGCAGTTAGGAAGTTGGATCTGTCTCCAGCTCTAGTCTACTACTACCAAGTCCTGGCCTCTCCCTGCACTACTCTTATCAGGCCAAAAGTTTTTAGAAATATCTTTTATTCTTCTGGATAAACACTTGATAAGTAAGCCAACATCAGGCTAAAAACTAGGAGGGAAAGGACGAGCGGTTAACCCCACAGGCCGCGGTCCTAGAACATTTCTGCGGAGTCTAGGCGGTCACGGTAACTCCGAGAGGCCGCGCAGCTTGGCCGCCTCTGCCACCGAGCCACAGGAGCAGACCAAAAGGTCCTGATCGTGGTTTCGTGTAAACCACCCCGGAAAACGGGTCCCGGCCCGCCGAGCGGTTGCTGGGCCTCGTGGGTGTACTTCCGAGAGTGGAGCATGTATCGCTTCGGTCCGAGGTCCGGGGTCGCAAGACAGAAGACGAGCTGGGGCTCCCGAAGACCAGGTCTCCCCGAAGGCTGTGACAAGATTTCCCGAGCCGGCCCCGGCCCCGGCCCGGCCCCGGCCCCAGCCCCGCCCCCGCCCCCGCCCCCGCCCCGCCCCGCCCCCGCCCCACCTACCCGCGTGCTGTGCGGACAGTAGCTCTTGCTGAAAATCATCACTCGGTTCCCCTCGATGAGGCCCAAGAGGCGGCGCCGCAGTTTTTCGCGGGCCTCGGACGACTGGCGACTGGTTCCGGGGGAAGACAGGCGGGCCCGGCGAACCGGCAGTGACATGGGCACGCCGTGGACACCCCCCAGGCGGCGGTTGGGGACGTTGTCCACCTTCACCGGCCCCGGCGACGTCTGCGCCCGCGGCGGCGGCGGCGGCGGCTGTTGTGCCAGGGTGTCAGTGTCACTCCCGGCCAGGCCGGACCTGGCCTGCTCAGGATGACCGATACTCCTGCGGAGTGCCCAGAGCTGAGGTTGAAAGGAGGAACCGCAAGCACCGCCCCCGCTCCCCACCCGCCACAAATCCCAGACCGCCGCTGGCCCGGTCTCCCAGCGTGGCCCCGCCCCTAGGACAGTCCCGCCCCCCGGCGCAGCCCAGTCACGTGGTGCAGCCTCACCGCACCGCCTACGTCTAGGCTGCAGTGCCGGGGTCATCTACCTTTCGAAATTGGTTGGATGCAAACCTGTGTACTTTCACGCTGCGGATCCTTATTACGACTTTGGTGCACGTCCCGGGACAGCTCAGTCTCAGTGATGCCATCCGTGGGTGCCTTCTGTGAGGACTTTACATGCCTTGTAATGTACACCAGCCCCTTAAGCCACCTTAAAAACATTCTTCAATGAGGATAAATGTCTGAACCTTACGGAAATTGTGAATAAAGCAAGCCATCTTTAGAAAAAAAATGTTTCTTTTTACAGTTTATTTCCCACAAACTAAAAGAACAACACTACGATCCCTATCACAACGCAGTTTCAAAATTAGTTTCCTAGGTTGCTTCAGCTAAGTCCCTACCCAATACATAGAATTCTGGAGGCCGCTCTAACAAACGGACCCTGAAATCATCTGTGACAGGCAGGAATCCTTTATCCATTATTTGAGTGCGTGCGTAGGAGGAGGATGAACGAAACCCCACCAAAGAGAGGGGTTCAACCACAGGACCAGCAAGCATGGCCTAGTTGTCTCAGGTGCCATCCCCTGACATGCTCCCTCTATCCTTGTGCCTCAGATATGTCAAACCCATTACTGCCTGTGGTTTTTGCATTTTCTGCTTCCTCAGCCAAGGATGTTCCTCCTCCAGTAAAATACATATTAAGAAGCCTGCATAATGGAAACTGCTTTTGCCTTTATTAGTGGCCTTGTTTTTTTCTTTGAGTTCATTTTTCATTTTTACCTGTTCCTTAAGTTGCACCTTTAATTCATTTATCTCATTCTTGTTTTTTAAAATAAGCATTAATTTAGCAAAAATAATATATGCTCATTACTTTTCTGCAAAAAAACTCAACACATAAAAGTAGAAGGATAAAACTAAATATAATAATCACCCCTGAAGTTTAGTAAAAAAATTATTTTTAATGTATCATGACCATCATTCCAGATACCTCTATAAACATTTAAACACCTAAAAATATGGAGAGGGATATACTTTTCTAATATATGGTCATGCTAATTTTAAAGTAAAATGCAAATTAAATTTTAAGAAAACAAACTAAACTGTAACTGTAAGGATTATTTCTTCAGACATTTTTTTCCAGAGAAGATACTAGTTTCTCAAAGATATCTTTTACAAAATGATTATAAACAGTGAGATTAGGTAATTATTTTTAATTTATTTTTCAATTACAATTTACATTCAATTTTATTTTGTATTAGGTTCAAGTGTGCAGGATAGCAAAAATATTGTTGGAAACTTGGTTCTTCTTGTGGACACAGTAAAGGATTAAAGATCAGAGAGTCAGTAGGCGAAGAGAGTTTATTAGCATAAGTTCTCTTTCCTGAGGTGGGTGAGAAAGGCATAGGCCCCTGGTCTCTTTGTCCTGAAAACACAGTTTGTGAGGTGGAGTGAGGGAGTTACATATTGATTGGCAGGTAATGGTGGTGCCTGCCTTTCCCTAGGAGGACTTCACCACCTAAAGGTAGGTAAGTGTGCAGGTCTATTTCTCAGGGTCCTTTTCTTTGCTCCAGACCACAACTGGTCATCCATTGTAAAATAAAGTTAAAGCAGTTAACCAAAGTTATTTATGGGCTTTGTCTGTAAATACTATGGCCCCTCCCACCCCTTTTCCTTCTACTCTCTCTAACTTCTACCTAACAGACAATTACATACTTTACAAAATGGTCCCCTGTTATTTCAAATACCTACTTGGAGCTGTAACGGGGTACAGCCAGGGCCCCCCCAAAGGGAGGATTTGTAACAGAGTCCAGAACTTGGGGTGTCCAAGAAAAATATAAGATATTCTTCTACCCACCCCACAAGGTGGGCCACCATAAGGGATGGGAGACCAGGAGCAGGGCCATTGAGAGTTACTTTGAATATCAGTAACAGGCAAGGTTAAAACCTGACTTGGAGCAGGACCATTGAAAGTCATTTTGCATGTCAATAACAACAGGATAGCTTCAAACCTCATAAGCAGAGATGGTTATTTTGCATATCAACAAGGCTTACCAGGAAGGTTTGTATAATTTAAACCCAGGATGTAATTAGGCGGCAGCTCCTCCGGTTGCAGTGCCTGCCCAAGGAGTCAGAAAAGGGGTTGCAGGGGGGAGGATTCCTGCGGGGGGAGGATTCCTGCCGGGGTTAGCCTTGCTAGAGGCTTTTGACCACACAGCTTAGGAAGCAGAAAAGCAAGATGTAACAGCCATGCAGGGCAGCTCCCCTAGTCACAGTGTACATGTATGAGAGCTCAGAGACGGTTTGCTTCACGCCACAGGGGAAAAATGCGAAGACCATGCAGGAAGGAATGGGGAAAAAGGACGCTTGCTACTGGGCCATGAGAAGGTGTCACGCGGGTTTGGATTAAAAGCTGGAAATCACAGTGACACAGTTGATTCTGGGAACCCTGAGAGGCCTGCCGAGCCGAGCTCCAGACTTCTGTTTTCTTCTGAAGGACGATTTGCTGATACGTAATTCTTTACGTGCGTCAGCAAGAAGAACCAGGTCTCACCTGTCAACAGATTCATACGTAGTTATTACAATATTATTGTCTATATTTCCTATGTTGTATTTTACATTCCTGTAACTAATTTGTAACTGCTAATTTGTACATCTAATCTATTCACCTTTTTCACCCAGCCCCTCCAAACCCCCACTCCTCTGGCAATTATCAGCGTCTTCTCTGCATTTACAAATCTGTTTCTATTTTGATTGTTCCTTTATTTTGCTCTTCAGATTCCACATATAAATGAAATCATATAGTATTGGTCTCTGTCTGACATTTTGCTTAGCATTGAGATAATTAATTTTTAATAAATCTCAACTTTCAACTGTATATTTTTACTTCATGATAAAAAAATGAAGAAATTAGAACACACTTTCTTCTATCTCTTCTCCTCTTTATTCATGAATTTTATGAATTATATTATTATTTATACATTGTCAGGTTTATAGCATTTGTATTTCGTGTCCCAGTAAACCTCTCACAGTTTAGTTTTACTTATGTGGACCCTGAGAGAAAAGACACCTACAAAGGAGTCTGGGTGGCTAACTGGGCTCAAATTTAAAAGCAGAGCCTACCAGCCATTTCTAAACAGGTGTCTTTCATGCAAACCACATTTTAGGGTCCCTTGGTTGGAGGAGCCTCCAAAATTCTATGTATTCGGGGACTTAGATATTGTAGGAAACTCATTTGAAACCTGTGTCGTGATAGGGAACGTCGTAGTTTTATTTAGTTTGTGGGAAATAAACTTTTTTAAAAAATACAATTTTTCCTAAATCTGCCTTCCTCCTAGACTGAATTGCCTGTCTGCACTGTGTTTCTACCATCTGACCCAGCCCTTATAGAAGAGTTCTTGGAATCCTATTTCAACCAATGGGTCTGAGGCTTTCCTAATCTAATTAGAACTGTGCAGCTATAAACCTATCAGCATCTTCACTGACCAATCATAGTGGCTCCATTCTGACCAATTCCAACATTACATTCTGGACCAATAAACTTCAAGGATTTCAAGTCCTCATTTGAAAAAAATAAAGTCCTCATTTACATGAGATCAGACCAATCAGGGACCAGGTACAGGGACTTCTGTCTACATAAACTGGTTCCCCTCAGGCTCAGAGAGTGCCCTTTGCCTTTCCATGATATACTGAACCTTGCATTTCCCTGGCTGGAGCTGAAACACCAAAGATAAAACACTGTATTGGCAGAGTAGGCAGAGTGGAGCAGATCGGCACAGACCAGCATGGCAGAGGGCAGACTGGAACAGGTGGATTAGACCAGAGCAAAGCAGTGGCGCTTCACCCCAGGGCTACCTGGCCCCAAGATTGTCTTCCAGGGGTGCTGTCTCATAATTGAGCGCTAACATTACTGAGCTCTTCTCAAAGCCCTGCTGCATCACAATTGAGCTATTTGCACCGAATGGAGTTTCCTTCTCCATTGCTTGTTGGCATTGAATCGATGCCAACAATCATCTGTTAACCTTTATTTAAAGGGATACTCAATGGATTTGACATCCAGCACTAATCTTTTTGCCATATCTTTTTTATTACTGAACTTTAGAATTTTAATCACTTCCTCAATGTTTGATTTGAATTATTTCAATTTTTTTTTTCAAAACGGATCGCAGTTGTCAGCCCTGAGTTTTCACATTCTTGAGGATGTCTGTCCATTGCATACACACATGAACAACTCGGCTAGCTTTAAAATTCCTGGGTCATATTTTCTTTCCCTCTGAACTTTGTAGATTTTGGTCCTTATCTTCTTGATTGGAATATGAATTGGAAAATTCTGTGAACGACTGTTTCCTTCTTGAGTCACATGTTAGTTATCTACTGCTACAGAACAAATTACCCCAAAACTTGGCTGAAAAGAGCAAACACTTATGATCTTATAGTTTCTGTGGGTCAGAAATCTGGAAACAGATTGGCTGGATGATTCTGCCTCAGAGTCTCTATGAGGTTGCAATTAAGCTATTGACTGGGGCTGAAGAATCTACTTCCAGTCTCACTCGCAGTTGTTAACAGGGCTCAGTCCTCACCACATAGGCCTCTCTATAGATTTCTTGGGTGTTTAATGACAAGTAACTTTCCCCAAAATGGGTAATTAAAAAGATAGAGAGAGAGAGCCCACATGAACCAAGCTGTAAGCCACATTTCCATAATCTTTTCATAACCTAACCTCAGAACTGACATCCTATCACTTCTGTTATATTGTTACCTGTAAATGTGCCAACCATTAATTAAGGGGAAAGGAATTTAGTTACACCTTTTGATGAGAACTGTATCAAAGAAATTTGTGGGCATATTTTGAAGATCACCACATACCAT